AGTGCACACTATGGAGTGGCCAAACTCACGCCTCAACTTCTAGTTTTCAGCTCCTGCTTGTTCCTGGCAGGAGGCCAGGCAGCAAAGCGTCTGAGGGGAGTTTTCCTTGCCTAGAGGAGCCAGCTGCTGTGTTAACTCCCTCACTGCTGGCAGGTACCAAGGCCCCACCTGCCACTCATCAGAGGCCAGGGTCACACTGTCCCAATGTGCAGGAGAACTTGGTGCCTGTTGCACTGCGGTTGCAGGTGGGGGTAGGGCTCCCAGGAATCTCCGCACCATTCCCGGGGTTCCCGGCAGCTCCGGGAAAGCAGAGCTGGGGCTGCTCAACTATCTCCCCTGGATCCAGCAAGGCTGCCCCCTCCCAGAGTGGAGCCCCACTCCCCAGCTCCCATCTCTATCCCCTAACCCTCTTTGCATGGTCCAGCACAGGCAGCATCGAGGTGGAGCTGAACAGAGACAGAGGGAGGGGGACCCAAGGTGGTGTCACTTAGGACTTGGATTCAAGTCCCTACACTTCTGCAGCCTGGCCTGGGTCCCATAACGCCCCAGGGTGACCAAGGGCTTCCCGGTCTGCACAGAGGACAGCGGGACTTGACAGCATCAAACGCTGGTGATTACAAGATGTCCATGTGGGGAATGCAGACAGACCATGCCTCTAGCCCTTGGCACCTGGGACCATCCATCCCTGGGACTTGCTGTCCTGGAAATGCAGCGTGGGCCTCCAGGGAGGGAGGCTGTGCCGCCTAGGTGCCACGCCCAGCCTGTAGCTCTTCCCCACCCTGGCTGCGGGTCTGCTTCCCTGAATCCAAATCTGCTATTACTGTGCTGGCAGTGCAGCCTCTCTGGGGACACTGGCCTGGCCCTGTTCTCCCCAGGCCTCAGGGTGTCTAACTGGGAGGCAGCAAGGGGAGTGAGGACCCACTGAGGGGCTCTGTTGACCAGGCTCAGCAGGGGTGCAGGTGATGTGGGCTGTAATCCTTCCCACATGGCTCCTCCAGTCCTCCACACTTCCTTCCCAGCTGAGCACTGCCTGCTCCAGATGTCTACACCTGGAGTCTGGGACGCCCAACTGGGCAGCAGAGAAACTGAGGCACGGAGACAGACTGTGTCCTTACAGGCCACACAGCCTGCCAGGTCCCTATGTCCCAGCCAGAGCCTCTAGTCAGCCTGGGCCTGAGTGCTTGTTTATAGGCAAGCTGTTCCCACGGCTGCCTCTCGCGGTGGGGGCCTGTGGACACCTCTTCCCGCCCCTACCCGACTCCCAAGCCTCAGTGACTTTGCTCAACCAGGAACTGAAATGCATTCCTGGGTTCAGGCCAGCCCACCCACCCACCCGCTGCAGTCCTGGAAGCCCAGAGGTCAGGGCAGCAGGAACAGTGGAGACAGCAGCGGAGGGGACATCCCCCCTCCTCTCCCCACCATCCTGGTCAGACAGAGGCCAGGGTGCAGGGACCGCCTGAGCAAAGGCCCAGGGAAAAGAATGGGTGTCATTCCGGTCCTAGCCCAAGGCACAGCCAGGGAGGTCCCTGAATGTCCTTCCTCAGGAAATGATGGGGGAAGGGGCGAAGAGAATGGAGAGGATTTAAGTCCCCCACCCCCCAAGGTAGTCCTGGGCTGAGCCCCACAGGACTTGTAGAACCAGGGTGTACCCCACCAGCGTGTCAGGTCCAGGAAGCCTTGTGGCCAGCTCCCACTTCTCTTGCTGCTGTGCAACCCAGAGCAAGGCCTGCCCCTCCAGCCTCAGTCTTCTCCCCTGCAAACGGGGCCACGGCCTTTCCTTTCAGGCCAAAATAAGGATCGAGGCCGGGTGCAGTGGCTCATCCCTGTAATCCTAGCACTTTGGAGGCCGAGCTGGGAGGACTGCTTGAAGTCTGGAGTTTAAGTCCAGCCTGGTCAACGTAGTGAGACCCATCTCTATTTGTTTAAGTAAAATTAAAAAATAAATAAAATAAGGATTGAGGAGTGACGTGTACACCAGTTGAGCCCACCTCCATCTCACCCCTGGGGAGCCCCAGGGACACAGCCCTCCAGGGCTTAGACCCGCTGGTACTCAACTCCGCAGGCACAAAACTCTGTTTGTCTGTGGGCCCTTTGGTATCACCAGGTTTTCAGGGCTTCTAAAGGAGAGCCCCGACCTGGCTTCACCTGGGCCCTGGCCCCAGTGACCCTGGTGATACTCAGGTGCTGGGCTGTGATCACAGCCTCCCACCAGCCCACCTCCACCAGCCTTTCCCAGAACCCTGCCCCAGGTGTTGGAACTGTGCCCGGAGGAGGGAGCAGACCCCGAGGGAGGCCGGGAGGGGCTGCCGATGGTGAAGGCTGCTGTGTCTAGCTGTTCCCTTCCAGACCCACTCCCTCTGGGCTGCGTCCCTGGCTGGTCCAAGCCCTGATCCCTGGGATATGAAGACCTCCTCCAATTTGCTGTTCCCTGAGAACCAGGCCTCCCTCTGGAGAGGATCACAAGCGTGGGTTTCACTCTGGGCTTGCTCTTGGAAACCCCCCAGGAGCTTGGCTCTGACCAAGATGTTTTGCTCCAGCCTCTTGCTCAATCCCCACTCGTCAGACCTCAGCTTCACGAACTCCTGTGTCTTTGGCAGGGTGAGCCGGACACTGGCCCGTCTGAGAAGGCGCCTGGTTCCCGGCATCAGCTGGCCACTCTCTGCCTAAGAAAGGGCCAGGGTCACTGCATCCCCTGGTGGCTGGTCCTAGGTATTGTCACCGCCCAGCCCCATTAAGGGAGGGCCTGGCCCCAAGTCCCAGGATGGGTTCAGGGCTGGGAGGGGCAGGGCTTGGGGTGGACCTGCCCTTGGCCCCCAGCCACGGGCCTGGCTCTGCCCATGCTGAAGATACTGAGGCCAGTTCCAGCGACCGCAGTGTCAAGATCTCCGAATCCCACTTCTCCATTCCTCCGCAGCCAGATGGCTCCATTTCACACACAATACACTGAGGCCCAGAGAGTAGGGAGCCAGGCCAGGGAGGCCACCTTGAGCCTGGCACAGCAGCCTCATTTATCATGCTGCTCTGCCACTCACAGGGGAAGCACGACCCCAAAGTCCCCTTCCCGGTCCTGGTGAGTATCTTGTGCCTGGATTGCTGGCCAGCCTTCTCTGCCCTGAGCACTCAGTAGCCAGCAGGCTCCCCGCCTTTCCTGGAGTCTGAGGCAGCTGCCCAGCCACCAGGTGTGTGACGGCTTGCACCACAGCGATGAAGGTGGACATGATCTGGGTGTGATGGTGCTGGGTCTCCAGGGCTGCAGTCACTGCCTGGGGGTGGGAGGAGACAGGAAGCCTGAGCAGGGCTCCAGATGCCACCTGAACCATGCCTGTGTGGTCACAGGCCTCAGTCCAGGTGATGCCATTTCAGGCCAGGTCATCAGGAAGAGCAGGTTGGGGCCTGCTGGGTCTCATTGGAGCAGGTGGCTTGGCCCTCAGGGCACAGGGGCTCCAAATGGCCCAGACAGCAGAGAGAGGACACCAACCATTGTACACCCTGTGGCGACCCAGGCCTCCAGCCCAGGAAGACCTGGGGCTCCACACAGTGACTCAGTTTCCCGAGCCCCCGGCCCACCCGGTCAATGTTTCTCTCCACTGTCGTGATGTTGGGTAGAGCCGGTCGTGCAGCCGGGGCTCCTCCACAGCTCACTTCACGTCACAGCACGGGCCCACTGAGCAGTGCACTGGGCATGTACAGCACCACGTCTCCCAGGCTGATGTTCAGCGGGTGCTCAATCAGCTCAGCGCAGTAGTTGTTCACGTCCTCAGCTGTCACAATGCCCCCTGCAATGGGACAGCAGCTCGAATGGGCACTGGGATGGGGCTGCACCAGTGGTGTTGGGGGCAGGCATGGCTGTACCACGGTGGTGGGGAAAAGCCTGTACCTACCGGGGAAGACAGAGTACACTACTGGAGGGTGGGACTGTGCCCTGGGAGGAGGCCACAGACAACCTCACTCCCTCCTGAGCTCCTGTCTCCCTGACACTGCCCACCACCCCACAGCTTCCTGGCTTCCTTCTCTCCTCTGTGGCCAGAGAGTGCTCTCCTTTTTCTGTTTTAGAGATAGGATCTTGCTCTGTCACCCAGGCTGGAGTGCAGTGGCTTAATTACAGCCTTGAACTCCTGGGCTCAAGTGATCCTCCAGCAGATCCTCCCCAGTAGCTGAGGCTAAAGGTGGCACCACCACACCCAGCAAATTTTAATTTTTTTGTAGGGTCTTGCTATATTTCTTTTCAGTATACTTTGAATTTTTTATGTTTTCTGGTTCCCCACCCCCACCCCCACTATATTTATGTAGTCTCAATATGTTTTTTTGTAGTCTATGTTGCCCAGGCTTGTCTTGGACTCCTGGCCTCAACTTCTACCTCAGCCTCCCAAAGTGCTGGGATTAAAGGCGTAAGACACCAAGCTTGGCCTCAGAGGGCTTATTCTTTTCCTTTTTTTTTTTTTTTTAGATGGACTCTTCCTCTGTCGCCCAGTCTGGAGTGCAGTCAGTGGTACGATCTCGGCTCACTCATGCCTCCTGGGTTCAAGTGATTCTTCTGCCTCAGCCTCCTGAGTAGCTGGGATTACAGACACAAGCCACCATGCTCAGCTAATTTTATGTTTTTAGTAGAGATGGGGTTTCACCATGTTGCCCATGCCAGTCTTGAACTCCTGACCTCAGGTGATCCACCCGTCTTGGCCTCCCAAAGTGCTGGAATTACAACAGATGTGAGTCATGGTGCTCGGCTCAGAGGGCATTTTCTTTTCTTTTCTTTCTTTTTCTTTTCTGAGTCAGAGTCTCACTCTGTCGCCCAGGCTGGAGTGCAATGGCGTGATTTGGACTCACTATAACCTCCGCCTCTCGGGTTCAAGCGATTATCCTGCCTCAGCCTCCTGAGTAGCTGGGATTACGGGCACGTGCCACCACACCTGGCTAAATTTTTTTTTTGTATTTTTAGTAGAGGCGTGGTTTCACCATGTTGGTCAGGCTGGTCTTGAACTTCTGACCTCGTGATCTGCTCACCTCGGCCTCCCAAAGTAATCAGAAGGCCTTTTCTAAGTGGAGAATTCCTGCCGGTGTCCCAGCCGTTTGGCCTCTTCTCCTCACGATGAATGGATAGAGGGAGGGAGGGAGGCTCTTAATTCTCCTGGAGTCAGCTCCAGACAGACAGGGTATTGGCATGCCAATTTCCAGCCTCAGTGGTAAAGGTCAACATGCTAATCACCCTCCTCCATGAAACAGTGACAAAAATTACCTGAAGAAAGCCACAGCCAAGCTCCAGGCCCCTGCCCCACAAAGCCCCTTCCCCACGCCTCTCTCAAGGTGACCCTCATCCCTTGTAACCCTCTTGGTGAATCAAAGCCCCCTCTCCCTGGGCCTTAGCCCAGCTGCTCCTCTGCCAGGAATCCCTTCCTCTCCCTGCCTAACAAAGTTATCTGCAGCCCAGCCACCACCTCCTCCAAGTCCTCCTGGATCTTCAGGCTGTATTCTAGTGCTTCCCTAGCCCTGGCTCTTGCCTACACCTGCATTTACCCCACCAGGGACTTGCTCTCCTGGACCGCAAGGTCTCTTTTGGTTTTGACATACCCAGGAGCTGTGGACCCACATGGCCGGCCACTGACCCTCCTCCACCAGGAACTTCCTGCAGGCTCAGGCAGGACAGGAAGACCCCAGGGCTCTGGGCCACGGCTCAGGGTTTCTACTGCAGGGTTCCTCACCCAGGCCCCTGAGGTTATCCACTCACCAGCTGCCTGGATGTCCTTCACAATCTGGGCTGTGAGGCTGCCGTTGTAGAAGGCCTGGGCACCCTCGATGGCCAGCATCTCGTAGGTGTCAGCCAGCCACGGCAGGGTCAGTCTCTCCCCCTCCCGAAGCACCTTTCCATCCCGGCAGAACACCTCACTGGGGCAGAGGGGGCTCACGTGAGGAAGCAGGTGGGATGGACTCAGCTAGACCATCCCCTACACCTGCCCACACAGGAGAACGGAGCAAAGCAGGGGCAGCACCTGTCACAGGTGGGTGGCCCTGTCACTCAGCGCTCGTCCTCCCATTGTCCCTTTCGGGAGCCTCCTAGTGTCCCTTGCCACTCAGGACACACGGCCAGCCACAGTGGCCACTGGGACCCCACCTCAGAATGTGTCCCCACACGTGGTGGGAAGGGTCTGTATCTCCTCAGCCCATTATCAGTGCGGGGTCCTGAAGGCAGAGGGCCGCTCCACTGCTGCTAGGGGCCTGCAGGGTCCTTGAGCTGTGTCTGCACTGCCTGTATCAGGGGGCCGCACCCACAGACATACCACAAGACAGGCTGCTGCTCGATGACGGTCGGCTTGTTTTCCAGGGCTGCTGCCAAGCCCTTGCCCACGGGGAAGCCCTGGCGGGCCAGCTGGATGCTGGGCTGGAAGAGGCAAGCCCAGGGCAGCCGCCCATGCCACTGGTGAACCAGTTCATAGCCTCAGATCTCCCCGGGCACTGCCACTGACAGCCCCCTGGGGGGAGAGAGCCACAGTTAGTGGCCCTGAGTGGGGGACACGGGAATCTGTCACAGGCAGCATCCCAGGCACATTCCCTGACTCGTTTTACAGATGAGGCAGAGGCTTAGAAGGAAAGTTTTGTTTTTTTTCTGTTTTGAGATGGGGTCTTGCCATCTTGCCCAGCCTGATCTTGAACTCCTGGACTCAAGTAATCCTCCCACCTCAGCCTCTGGAGGAGCTGAGATTATAGGCATGAACCATCACACCCGGCAGAATGGGATTTTTATTTTTATTTATTTTTTTAAATTTTAATTGTTTTTTTAGGAGGGGACTTTTAAGGTCATATCTGGGCTCGGCAGGCAGGAGTGTACATGGACCAGGGATGTCTGAGGAGGGCACAGGAGGGGAAGCAGTAGCATGCAACTGGGTTTCGCTGTTCCAGGATGAGGTGTCTGTGCAGGTGCCTGCGTGTCTAAAATCCTGTGCCAGGCCAGACCCCTCCCATCTCGCTGACCACAAGGCCTTATCCTGTAACACTCGTGGGCTCCACCAGAATGTGCCAAAGCAAGAGCAGGTCCTTCCCTGACCCAGGTCAAGCACAGACCACCCTCAAGACCCAGTCAGCCCTAAGAAAGGGCTCCCTTCCTCTTTTCAACTGCCCCAGAGGCAAGACCTGAGCCTTAACCTCCGTCCTATTCCCTCTCCCAGCCTCAGTTTCTCTGTCCAACTGTAACAGTGTTTTCTTTTGAGACAAGGTCTCACTCTGTTGCCCCAGCTGGAGTGCAGTGGTGCAATCACGGCTCACTGCAGCCTTGGCTTTCCAGGCTCAAGTGATCCTCCCACCTCAGCCTCAGAAGTACCTGAGACTACAGACACACCCCACCACACGCAGCTGATTTATTTTTCTTTTGAGATGGAGTTTCACTCCTGTTGCCCAGGCTGGAGTACAGTGGTGCGATCTCGGCTCACACCAACCTCCACCTCCCAGGTTCAAGCGATTCTCCTGCCACAGTCTCCCAAGTAGCTGGAATTACAGGCACGCACCACCATGCCCTGCTAATTTTTGTATTTTTAGGAGAAACAGGGTTTCACCATGTTGGAAAGGCTGGTCTCAAACTCCTGACCTCGTGATCTGCCTTGCCTCCACCTCCCAAAGTGCTGGGATTACGGGCGTGAGCCACTGTGCCCAGCCTAGATTTTTAATTTTTTTGTAGGGACAGAGATCTCACTATATTGCCAAGGCTGCTCTCAAACTCCTGGCCTCAAGCAATCCTCCTACCTCAGTCTCCCAAAGTGCTAGGACTACAGGTGCACCCGGCCTATAAGGGCTTTTGCCTTCCAGTTCTGACTTTCAAGGAGGTCATTGGAAACAGACCCTGTTTCCCCTAAAGACAGCAGGGAAACCTGCTTCCCCTCTGAGCCCCACTGTCCATATGTACACTAGACACTGACCCTTTGCTCAGAAAGATACAACTATGGCCTCTGCCTCCAAGTATTCTCCTGCTCTCGCCAGAGATGACGGGGGCCATTTGGCCACTCCCAGGCTTGGTGACTGCAGCTCTAGAACTGCCTCTCCCACCCTGAAGCCTGGCACAAGTTTTCAAGAGCCAGTGGTTTCAATTCCTAGAGGCTGCACATACATCCCAGAAGGTCTGACACCCAGCACACAACTCCTTCTACCTTACAGTTAGACAGAAGAAGTTCTAATCTTCGATAGCAGACCAGGATGACACTTAGCAATGGTATGTTGTATATTTCAAAGTAACTGGAAGAGAGGACTGTGATGCTAACACCCAGAAATAAATACTCAAGGTTACGGAGACCCCAAATACCCTGCCTTCATCATTATACACTCTATGCATGTAACAAGCACTCACATGTACCCATAAATATAGAAAATATCATGTATCAATATCAGAAAAAAAATCTCACCTCAGGCCAATCAGGCTCTCATGCCACCACACTTGCCAAGCTCTCCGGCAACCCCCACACTGCCAGACCTAGTGCCCTCTCTCAGCTTTACTGGGCTCATCACTTTTCTCAAGAGCCACCCCTGCATCCTAGCACCTGGCTCCACCCGTGTGTCCCCCGCCTGCCATCCTAGCTCCTGCTCTGCCCTCTGTCTTTGCTCTCTCTCCTGGTGGTCTGCCTGACATCTGAGCTTCAGCCTCCATTTAAGCACTGACAACTCCCAAATTGACCTGCTTGCCTGGACTGCTCCTCAAATCTCCAGACCTGAGTATCTACCTGCCTGCTCGAAGAAAGCATCTCAAACTTAAACGTGCCCAAAACCGAGCTCCTGAGTGTCCACTCAGACCTGCTTCCTGAGAGCCCTGCCTGTCTCTGTTAGGGTCACCCCATCCTTCCACGTACAGACAAAGGATCTGGGGTCCTCGGGGACTCCCTATACCAGCATCACACCCAACCCATCCTCAAATCTGCAGGCTCCACTTCGAAGTGTATCTGTCCAGCGTCAGCCACTTCCCACCACCCTCTCCATGAATTACTGCAGTGACCTCCGGACAGGTCCCCACATGCTCCCTGTCCCTTACACAGCAACCCAAAGGGTCCACAGGTCAGATGCATCCCACTCCACTCACACACTCCACAGGCCCCCACTTCCTTGAGACAAGAGGCAGAGGCTTCACCATGACCTAAGAGATCCCACACAACCTGGGCCGTTCCCCTCGGGTCACTTGCTGCAGCCTCCCCGGATCCCCACAGGGCTCTGTCCCTGCCCATCACACCTGGATCACTTGGTCTTCCCCCAGACACCACAAAGCTCCCCTGACCCCACCCCTTCCTCTGGGTCTTTGCTCAGATATCCTCTTCCCTGACTAGGTCACCCTCCATAGAGTACTAGATATTGAGCCCCCCCAGGTCTGCTTTTCCAAAGCCTGTAGCACACCTGCACCTGCCTAGTTTCTCCTCCAACCTGGAATGTCACAGATTTCATTTGCCATCTTTGTTTTTCACCCCAGCTTCAGGAACACCTGATTCTTTAAGAGATGCTCAATACATTCTAGTTAAAGAAATGATTCCAAGCGTCCACAAGGTACCAAGTCTATGATTCCCGCATTCTCTTACCCTGAGCAATTTTTTTTTTTTTTTTGAGACGGAGACTCGCTTTGTCACCCAGGCTGGAGTGTAGTGGCCGGATCTCGGCTCACTACAAGCTCCGCCTCCCGGGTTTACGCCATTCTCCTGCCTCAGCCTCCCGAGTAGCTGGGACTACAGGCGCCCGCCACCTCGCCCGGCTAGTTTTTTGTATTCTTTTAGTAGAGACGGGGTTTCACCGTGTTAGCCAGGATGGTCTCGATCTCCTGACCTCGTGATCCGCCCGTCTCGGCCTCCCAAAGTGCTGGGATTACAGGCTTGAGCCACCACACCCGGCCACCCTGAGCAATTTCATGTCTACAGATGCTGAGTTTCTCAATGAATATTAAAAAAATTAAAGAGTCAATATGTTGTGGAGGACTCCAAAAGGCACCACCCAGGATCCCCACCTGAGGTCTAAGACTTGCTATGGTGAGTGTTCCCTGCCCCTCCAACCTCCAACCTTTTTTTTTTTTTTTTTTTTGAGATGGAGTTCTACTCTTGTTGCCCAGGCTGGAGTGCAGTGGCACGATCTCAGCTCACTGCAACCTCTGCCTCCCGGGTTCAAGTGATTTTCCTGCCTCAGCCTCCCATATAGCTGGGATTACAGGTGCACACCATCACGCCTGGCGAAATTTTGTATTTTTAGTAGAAACAGGGTTTCACTATGTTTGCCAGGCTGATCATGAACTCCTGATGTCAGGTGATCCACCCACCTCAGCCTCCCAAAGTGCTGGGATGACAGGTGTGAGCCACTGCACCCGACCTTTGTTGTTGTTGTTGTTGTTGAGATAGGGTCTCACTTTGTTGTCCAAGGTAGAGTACAGTGGTACATCATGGCCACATCACCATGCCTGGCTAATTTTTTTTTTTTTTTCATTTTTTGTAGAGACGGAGTCTTGCTATGTTGCCCAGGCTGGTCTCAAATTCCTGGGCTCATGCGATCCTCCTGACTTGGCCTCCTAACATGCTAGTATTACAGGTGTGAGCTATTGAGCCCCACTCATCCTCCAACTTTTACCCCACAATCTATTCTGCCTCCTTTGAGCAGTATCCCTGGATAGACAGCGGCTTCCCCTCAGGTACCTGGGGAATTTGGGGGCCTCCTCTCCACTGGAGACCAGACTGGAAAAGAGAGACTCCACCTCACATTCTAGAGCGCCATCCCCACAAATGAACAAATGAGTGAATGGGATGCCTGTTGAAAAGGCAGGAAACAGATAGCCTGGGTTCAATTTTAGCTTTACCAACCCCCCAGCTGTGTGACCTCAGCTGATTTGCATGACCTCTCTGAGCCTCAGCATCCACACCCTGTAAAATGGGAATCCACACAGCATCCCCTATCGCAAAGGAGCAGGGAGGGGTGTGAGGGGCTCGTGGGTGAAAAGCACAGAGCACAGCCTGGGCCCCAGTGAGCCCTGGTCCGTGAGGGCTGGTAGCATAATAATTATTCTCTCCGTGTGCTGCACAGGGTGGCCCCAGAGGCCTTAGCGGAAATAACAGAAGCTCCCAGCCCTTTACTCTGGTGATGATGGTCCTGACCACTCATTGGGGAGGGTGCTATGGGGCCAGGAAGGGATGGGGGTGCTAGAACTGCCCCTGGACCCTGATGGGGCCAGGCTCCTATGGGCAAGACCCTTCCCGGTGGCTCAGCCGACTCTGCACCCATGCCCCAAGCCTGCAGGATGGCTTACCCTTCTGGGACTGCCCCGAGCTGTTGAACATGCCGGCAAAGGCCAGCCTGGGGGCCACCTCACAGGCGTTGATGACCTCAGCTTTTCCTAGGAGAAGCAAGTAGGCAGACTGACCCACCCAAACCCTTCATGCCCTGTGAGCCCAGGGGCCACTCAACTGTGCCTCGGCCCAACCCACATCCCCTGCCCCTCTCCCTCGCCTCTCCTGAGGCACTCACACATGGTGCTGTTGTAGATGGTGAGGAACGGGCCACCCCCGATGCCCATGCTGTGGGTGTTCATGAGCCCCACATACAACAGGGCTGCAATGGCTGCGTCCACCGCAGAGCCACCGTCCCGCAGTGCGTCCCTGCCATGTGGCACATAAAAGGGTGCAAACCCACAGGCTTCCATCCTGGCCCACCTGCTCAAAGGAGGATGGAAGAGAAGTCCATTCGAGTTTTGGAGTTTTTGTTTTTCTCTTTTTCTTTTTTTCTGAGACAGAGTCTCACTCTGTCTCCCAGGCGGGAGTTTAGTGGTGTGATCTCAGATCACTGCAGGCTCAACCTCCTGGGCTCAACTGACTCTCCCACCTCAGCCTCCCAAGTAGCTGGGACTACGGGCCCATGCCACCACCCCCGGCTAATTTTTGTTTGTTTGTTTGTTTGTTTTGCTGTTTGCAGAGATGGGATTTCACCATGTTGCCCAGGCTGGTTGAGAACTCCTGGGCTCAAGTGATCTGCCCACCCTGGCCTCCCAAAGTGCTGGTACTACAGGTGTGAGCCACTGCATCCGGCCTTTGTTTTATGAGACAAGGTCTCACTTTGTCACCCAGGATGAAGCACAGTGGCACGGTCACGGCTCAATGCAGCCTTGACCTCCTGGGCTCAAGCAATCCTCCCACTTCAGCCTCCTGAGTAGCTGGGACTACAGGTTTGAACCACCACGACTGGCAATTTCCTGTCTTTCTTGTAGAGACAGGGTCTCCCTATGTTGCCCGGGCTGGTCTCAAACTCATGGGCTCAAGTAATACTCCCGTCTCAACCTCCTGAAGTGCTGGGATTACAGTTTTCTCTTTTCCTTTTCTTTCTTTCTTTTTTTTCCTAGACGGAGTTTCACTCAGTTGCCCAGGCTGGAGTGCAAGTGGCATGATCTCAGCTCACTGCAACCTCTGCCTGCTGGGTTCCAGTGATTCTCCTGCCTCAAACTCCCAAGTAGCTGGGATTACAGGTGCATTCCACCACGCACGGCTAATTTTTTGTATTTTCAGTAGAGATGGGGTTTTACCATGTTGGCCAGGCTGGTCTCAAACTCCTGATCTCGGGTGATCCACCTGCCTCAGCCTCTCAAAGTGCTGGGATTACAGGTGTGAGCCACTGTGCCCTGCCAGTTCCTTCTTTATCAAGCAAACAAACGTATGTAACTGTTTTATAAACTTGACGGCATCAAAGTGTGATTGTGTTATTTTATATTAATTTTTTTTCCTTTGGCCTGGTGCGCGGTGCTCAAGTCCGTTTGTCACTTGGGAGGCCGGAGACGGCGTGGATCTAAGGCAGGAGATCAGAGACCATCGCCGTGGCGAACACTGGGTGAACCCCGTCTCTACTTTCAAAAAACTAGCGGGCGATGCGATTGGCGGGGCGCCTGTCCGTCCAGCTACTCGGTGCTGATGGCTGAGGTCAGGAGTGAATGGCAGTGACCCGGGATTGCGGAGCTTGCAGTGAGCTGAGATCTGTGTCGCGCTGTGCGGCGGGGCAGGGAGTCGGACCTCCGTCTGCAAAAAGAAAAAAAAAAAGAAGATTAAATGAATAATTATTAATACTCTGTTTTTCTTTGTTTCATGTTTGTCTGGGATGTGCCGCTGCCCACCAGGTAATTTCCTCATGGGGCATTTTGGGAGGGGCAAGAGATGGGAGATTACTTTGATGGGCCTGTGGCGATACAGTGAGACTTCTACAAACAGTCTTTTGGAGTCAGGTGTTGTATGTCTTTGCCTCTACAGCTCGCAACCTGGGCAATAGGGTGATGTGTTTAAAAATGATGAATAAGCCATGGGCACGGGTGCCTACATCCTGTAATTCCCAATGCTCTTTTTTGGGGAGGCGAGGGGGTATATCAGCCTGAGGTCTGTATGTTATTGTCTGGCACATGGTGAAAGCGCATCCTCGTACGAAAGACCACAACAATTAGGCTGACGGCGGGCAGTGCTCTTATGGTTCCTGTTTGTGAGGCAGAGGTGGACGATCAGAGAGGCAGGAGGTAGAGACGTGCCTGGCCAAAATAGGCTGTTCCCTACTAAAATACCAAGTATTTGTGTTGTTAGTGGGCACACAGACCTGTAGTCCAGTACGTCAGGGAGGCTCAGGCAGGAGAATGGCTTGAACCTGGAAGGTGGAGGTTGCAGTGACCTGAGATCGCACTACTGCATTCCAGCCTGGGTGACACAGTGAGACTCTGTCTTGGGAAAAAAAAATTAGCTGGGCATGGTGGTTTATGCCTGTAATCCCAGCTACTTGGGAGGCTGAGGTATAAGAATCGCTTGAACCTGGGAGGTGGAGGTTGCAGTGAGCTGAGATCGCGCCACTGCACTCCAGCCTGGGAGAAAGAGCCAGACTCCACCTCACAATAAATACATAAATAACTAAAAATAAAAAGACAAATACGTAAAAATAACAACCAAACAACAAAACAGTGGAGTTTATCCAAAGACACAGAGACTTTTAGAACTGGGAAAAAGGGCCCTATTGGGCTCTGGGAGACCCACACCCTGCTCTCGGGGTCACCGTCCCCTACCCAGAGGCTACTGAGA